CTTTCTCCACCTCTCCATTTTTCACTTCAAAAGCTCAATTAAATAGCTGTTGTTCCTCCCAATAGCCTAGCATCTAGGTATGGACAAGTGCACACATTCCATTTATATTTTTCTCTTCCTGTGGCCCAGACCCGGCAGCAAGACCGCACAGGAAGGAGCCCTGCAGGGCATGAGGTGAAGCCCGAGTCTCTCCACGGTCCTTTCCTGCCCGGGAGACGAAAATGGCCCCAGGCTGGGGTGTGCTGTCCCTGGGCACCAAGGGGCTGGGCTCCCTTCAGAGACCCCCCTGCCTCACCCTTTCTTCAGTACGGAGCTGGTCCGAGGTGAGGGTGTCCTCAGGTAGAGTGCACAGCTGGATGGTGACGGAGAGGTTGGGCCTGCTGGGAAGCAGCTTCTTGTTCTAGCTGGTTTGAGAGCCGGGCCTGAGGCTGCTGAGTTTCCTGCCTCTCTGCTGTCAGGTATGAGGATGGATCAGTCAGTCTGCTGTGTTCAAAGGAGTTGCAGGTGCAGGGCATCGTTTTGACAAAATGACAGGAAGTTCCTGGCATGCCCCGAGGACAGCCCGGAAGTGAGTTTGCTGTGGCCCTGAGCTCCTCTCCTGATCCCCCGGCACCCGGCAGCATCACTCTTCCTGGGATTGCCTGGAAGACCCAAGTCCTTTTCACCTCAGGGACTTCAAAAGTACACTTGCTTGAAATTCTTCTTCTCCACTGTAGAAAGGAAAGATCATTTCATTCTGATGAAGAAGGGCAGTTTTTTGGGATTTTGTGGTCAATTTTTTTTTTTTATGACAGTGCTGGTCAGGGAACCCAGGGCCTCTCAGGTGCCAGGCAAGGACTCCATGCCCAGCCCTTTGGTCAAATTGTTGTTGTTGAAAGGGAGAAACATCTGTGTCATTTATAGTTACAAATGTGTGAATTTGCACATGATGATTTGCTTATATACATGATATAGCTGTGTGAGCTAACTCTGCTTACAGGGAGCCCAGAGGGGCCTGAGCTGACTGGAAGCTGGTGTCTTCCTCATGCTGGGACAGGGGTGCTGCCTTATTTTATTTTTCTCATGAAAGATTCTTGTGGAATGAAAACTTAGTTGAGTTCCTACCCAGAATCACTGTTAGAGTGACGGAGCGCCAGCACTGCTGTTCTGCTGGTGCCAAAGATGACTGCAGAAAGCTTTATTCACCAGGGCGAGGCTTGGGTGGGAGTTTGATTTTGATTGTGATTCTGGCTTTGGGGGTTTCCAGATAAGTCTTAGGAAGCCAGATGCTTGTGACCTGGCCTGCACACAGCCAGTTTTTGTCTGGTCCAGGTGAGGTTTGACAGGTGCTGCCCAGAATAAAAGAAGTGGAAATTGATGGCAAAGGTGAAGTGAGCCCCCAAGGTCTGTTCCTAACTTCACGGAAAGGGAGAAGCATGCATGAGCTCTGTTAGCCAGGAGAATGTAAGGGCCTTAGTGTTCAGCAAAAAGAGATGGTGGCAAGACAGTGTCGGTTCAGTGCTGCCCATGTGGGGTTTTCGACTTCCTCTTTGTGACATCTCCACCACAGTGACCTCAGGCCCTGGCTGCCACCTAGGTGTCTCGGCGGCTGTCAGCAGTCTACTGAGACCTGGTTGCGTGGCTCCCTGTGTGTCTCCCTCCACTGTCTCATTCCCTCGGCCTTCCAGACCCAAGAACAAAGCTGAGCAGGGCGTGTTGGTGCACTCCTGTCATCCCAGGATCCTGAGATGGTGCATCCCTGTCATCCCTCCTTCCCATGTTCAAAGCCCCTGCTGCCCTCTCTTCCTTCAAATCCAGATCCTTCTCCAGTCTTTCCTTCCCCTGCAGGGCACAGTCACCTCCTGGGGCTGTGACTGGGCTGTTGCTCTCCTACTTCCATTTTTGCTACTTTCTTTTTTTGTTGTTTGTTTTGTTTTGTTTTTTGGTACCGGGGATCGAACTTGGGTCCTTGCACTTGCACAGCAGGTGGTGAAACCACTGAGCTAAATCCCCAGCCCTTTTGCTGATTTCTTAATGCCTTCCCTATAGGACATGAAATCCAGTTTCCGAAGGTTTCAGATGCACCGTAGGATAAACTCCAGTTTCTCCCTGTGCCATGCCCAGCCTCTCTCAGAAGTGGCCCCAGCTCTTCCCAGGGACCCCATCCTCCAGCATTTTCTGCGTTGTCCAGACTGTTCGGCACATTCCTGTAATCCCAGCTACTCCGGAGGCTGAGGCAGGAGAATCACAAGTTCAAGGCCAGCCTGGGCAACTTAACTAGACCCTGCCTCAAAATAAAAATATGAAACGATGTCAAAAGACTAACAGAAACCAAACCAAACTTCCCGGGCTCTGTAGTCAGCAGACATTTAAAAAATATCCTTTATTGAGACATGTGACATGGAATAAACTGTTCATATTTAAAGCATACAATTTGAACAGCATGCATTTTTAAATGAACGTAACTCTGAAATTATAATGTTGTCAGGTTGAATATTCTATACCAAATAATGTGTGTATGTGAGAGCTTACCAAATAAATTGAGAAAATTACACCCTCACTGAATGGTTTTCGAAAGCATTTGTGGATAACATTGTTTTTTGTTTGAGTGTTTGCTTTTGAGACAGGATCTCACTGTATAGTTCAGGCTGGCCATGAACTCATCATGTAGCCCAGGCTGGCCTTGAACTTGTGATAATCCTCCTGTCTCAGCCCCCTGAGCACTGAGATTACAGGCCTGTGCTACCATGCCTAGCTTGTGAATGATAGTAAGAGAATGATTGCACCTCCTAAGTCATCAGATGCTGCTTCTGCCATGTGTCGTTTACGGTATTGCCCATCCCTTTGTATTTCAGCAGGATGTTTCTTCTGGTGGGCGCCCCCAAAGCCAACACCACCCAGCCCGGCATCTTGGAAGGAGGGCAGGTGCTCAAATGTGATTGGTCCTCCAGCCGCCACTGCCAGCCAATTGAATTCGACTCAACAGGTGAGTGTTGGGACTGTGGTCTTTCTCTCCATTTACATTTGATTACAAGTTTTGAGAACACACTGTGTTCCATTGTTGTGGAGGGCTTCGGTCCAGACTGGAAGTGCCAACGTGTAGGAACTTGGTGGAAATCTATTAAGATGTTTTTGCGTTGCTTTTGAGAAAAGGGAGCTCGTGGACCCAGCTGAGCTTTTGGGTCCCTTTTTAACTCCCTCAGCCAAACTGAAGCCTGACCCACCGACCTCAGAACAACTCCCTAATCAGGAAAATATCCCAGCCCTTGGGGTGCTGGAAAACCCTGCTGAGGAGTTTTTCACAGTCAAGTAGACGTAGGCAGTTTAAAAGGGGAGAAAACTTAAAAAGCTCTTGTCTTACCTCTCACCCGGCAGAGTGTATTCTATGCTTTTATTTATTTATTTTTTGGTACCGGGGATTGAACTCAGGACCTTGCGCTTGTGAGGCAGGCGGCAGAACCACTGAGCTAAATCCCCATATATGTTTTTAATAAGAGGGTCATTTTATCTTTAGGGACAGATTTCAGTGTCAGGACTGGAGTGGAAAGGAGGTCAACATCAGAAGGAAGATGAGAAATAATTGAAGTTTTATATTTACATCAGTGCAATCAAATATAATCCTGGACTCATTTATGTTGGTATATTAATATCTACTTGTGAATGCTTAGAAAATCTTCAGAGAAATGAGACTTTTCTTTTAGTTTAATAGTTTCATAAAACTTTTTAATGATTACTGGCTTTGACAGAGTGCTTTGAGATAAGCCTGAACAAAATTAGTCTCTTTTTCCATATTGTTATTTCCTACTAGTTCTAAAATACATTGTTTCTGGAGCTATAAGGTCATCAAAACAGGAGTGATGGTGTGGCTGAGCATCACGAAACCAGCTGTTCAGGGGAGCCAGGTCACAGGGGTTTTGCTTTGTTTTTTTCCATTTCAAATTCTCTGCCTTAAACTGTTGCTTTTTCCATATATGGTCCATTCTGGGAAAACCCCAAGAGTTGATAAAAGGCTGTTTTACCACAAGTGGAGAAAATACCTGCTATTCAGATCATTATAGGTCAGAGATTTATCCACTGTCAAGTGTGAATGCTAATAAGATGAATTGTAGTTACGTATTCATAAACATGGAATTCTTTAGGTATGTTTTGGTTTTCAGTGCATGGCAAGATAATTTATTGCTGGTTTTGTTTTTTGTGGGTTTTTTTGAGATTTGGCTTTAGGTAGTTTTGTGTTCATTGAAAAACATCATCCATGCCCTTGATAACAAATTTCAGTCAGTCCACAGGTGTGTCTAGCAAAAAACAGAAGGTTCTTCCATGAACCCGCTCAGTGGCAATTGTTTGTAACAGTGATTTTATCTTTCCAGAATTAAAGTTTCTATACATGTATACATCCTTAGAAAAAAGCAATTCACAAGTTGAAACATTCGAAATAGATAGGTGTTATCCTTCTTTCTACCTGGAATCCTGGGATCCCCTCTGCCCTTTTCATACGGGGCTGTGTTCTGTGAGCCACTGGTAGTGTTACGTGTATGTATGTGTCCTAATTTATTTAACAGATTTTTCCTATTGATGGATATGTGGTTTGTTTCCAGTCTTTTGTTATTTTAAAAACTGGTAAAGTAGAAGTCTTATCCACAGCTATTTGTATAAATACTTGAGTATGTCTCTGAGTGATAAAGTTGTAGTTGGGCATTTTGGGTTAAAGTTATGTATATTTAAAGTTTTGTTAGGTATTGCAAATTATTCTTTTCAGAGGTTTACATTCTCTGATTATGTTTTGTGATACTTAGGCTGACACCATGTATCACCATATTTAAAAAAAATTTTATTAGTACATGTTTGCAATACTGTTATGGCTTGTGTCTAGATGTCACCCCAAAGCCTCATGTGGTCCAAGGTGGGGCTTTTTCAGAGGTGGCTGGATCTAGAGTGTGTGATGTTGGGATTAAGGGTGTGTGATTAGTAAATTAGTCCACTAATTGGATTGGCATAGTTCTGGGTGTGAGAGCTACCTACCCTAAGTGCAGTTAGCCTAGACAGAATATAAAGGGGCAGAAAGAAGCTGCTATTGCAACTTATAGCTTGCTGCCTTCTGCCTGCCCTGCTTTGCCATGCACTGTTTGTCCTCTGCGATGCCCCTATCCCATGTCACCCTGTCTTGGAGTCAGCTGACTGTGGACTGAAACCTCTGTAAACTGTGAGCCAAATAAACCTTTCCTCCTTTAACTTTGGGTGTTGGGTGTTTTGTCTCAGCAGTGAGCAAAGTGACCGAGGCAAGTACATAATGATTACCTTCGTTGTGGGGAAATTGGTGCATGTCCTTGACACATCTCAAGTTCTTTTATTCCTCTTTCCCTTCATGCACTTTTTTAAAGCAAAATCAGATTCACTTATTTGTCTTGTAAGTCCCTATGAGGTTAATTATCATACGTACAGATTAACAGCCAGACTAATAGGCCAGAAAACCATATAAAACACATAAGACAAGTACGCTAAATAAAGGTGCATTTTTAGATACATTGTTCATGCTGGATTACAATAACTTTTCTCCCTTTTTCCTCTTGTCTGTCTTTTATTTTGCATTCTATTTATGTGTTGAGTGTCTCATATAAGAGAAACCATGTGATATTTGAGCTTGTGTGTTTGATGTACTTCACTTAACATTATGGTCTCAAGCAACCACCATTTTTTTTAACTTTTATTTTTATTATTACATGTTCGTAGTACATAATGATTATATTCATCATGGGGAAGGGCTGGGGATTTAGCTCAGTGGTTCTGGCGCCTGCCTCGTAAGCGCAAGGTCCCAAGTTCAATCCCTGGTACCAAAAAAAAAACCCCACACATCATGGGGAGTTGATACAAGACCGTATTTCTTTTTCAATTTTGTACGAAAAAAATAGCCTTTGTTATATTAATTTGCATTCTTTTTCATTAGTAAGACAGATCTTTGCATGTATTTGACAGCCAGAGGTATTCTTCCTTGTCCTGTGAGCTGCTTCCAGTGTATTTGGACTGATTTTCTGTTGAGCTGTGAATTCCCAGTGGAGGACACTCCATCCTTCAGAGCTTAGTCAGAGTCTGGAGTTGCACTTGATATGAGTCTGTCAGCAAGTCACAGTGGGGCTGCTTCTTGTCCTCTCGCTGCCAACATCCTGGTCCCAGCCGCCACTGTCTCCCACCTGGACTCCCGCCCTGGATTTCTGAATTAGTCAGGGCCCTCCCAGGAATGAGGTGGCACAGTTAAGTGGGCAGTTGGAGGAGCCTGACTGTTTACAAAGGACTGTATGGGCTCTCGGGGTTGCTGTGGCCCTGGCACTCATTAAAGTTTGCCCTCCAGGCCTGAAGGGGGAGAAGTTAGCAGAATCCAAGGACAGAGGACGAGGTGGAGAGAGCCATGGGACAGGGCCATGGCTTGTGTCCAAGGGCAGCAGCCCTCCCCACACGACCGGAAGGGACAGCAGGGAGTGTTCGTCAGCTTTCTGCTGCTGAGACAGAATACCAGGTTGGTCAGGTTTGAAGGAGGAAAGGTTTATTTTGACTCATGTTTTCAGAGGTTCCAGTCTGTGGTTGCTTGGCCCTGTGACTTGGGTCCTGTGACGAGGTGGAACATCATGGCGTGGATGTGGTGGTGCAGCCGGGAGCAAGGAGAGACAGAAGGTCCCAGTGTCCTCTTGGCCAGCAGAAACCCAGGGACCCAACTTCCTTCCACCAGGCTGCACCTCTTCAAGGTTCCACATTTCCCAGTGGCCCCACAGGCTGGCATCCAAGGCTTTAGCATGGGGGTATTGGGGGGCATTTATTATCCACTGGAGATGGATGGGCTAACGACCTTGACCTCTCTCCTTTCAGTTCTCTGGGTCTCCTGTGGGCACATTCCAGCCTCAGCTTTGCCTGGGCTGTCTCATCTGTCTAGAACGTTTCTCTCCCAGAGGCCCATTGGGTTGTCTCTGTCGCCATCTTGGACACATGCTCTAAAGTCACCTTCTCAGGAATGCTCTAGCCATCTTATTTCCTTCATACTTCCTTCTTCTCTGCTGTATTTTTCCCTATAGTACTCACACTGCTATGTAATTTACTCATTTATTTTTAGTGAAGAGAATAAATCCTCTCTCTCAGAATTTAAATTCCATGAGGACAGGTTTTTTTTAATCTGTTTTGTTCACTGCTAATACCCCAGTGCTTAGATTATGCCTGATGTGTGATGTATGTTGCTGCCTAAGAAGCAGAATAGGTGATAAACAAGTAAATAATATAAATTATTTACATTGGAAAGAAGTATGTAAAATCCTTAAGTTCCATTTATCCATCTAGCTGTCTGCCTGTGCGTCCTTCCATCCATCCACCCATCCCTGTTCTTTTCCCTCCTCATGATACTTCTCAAATCTTTTTGTATAACTTTTGAAACTTTCCTTAAGAAAAACTGATACAAGTTAAGACTTTGCTTTTTATATTAGAATTTTGTATCCGTTTGATGTTTATTTGAATGTAAGAAGACGATGGAGAGTTCCATGATTCAGTCAAGAAGTGTGTGTCCAGGACCTGAGGGTGTGGTTGAGGGGACAGCACCTGCCGACCACGCGCCAGGTCCAGACCCAATCCCC